AAAATGCAACAATATTTATGAGAAATGTTAAAGCAATCATAAGCATTTGATTGAATGACCATATTTTGTCTTCTGCAAGTCGAATCTTAAAATGATAGCAGTTTGAAAAATGCTAATCCTTTATAAAATATTCAAGAAAGATTAAAAAAAAGGTACTGTTCTGTTATCAGGACCGGTTCAGAACTGTATTTATGTATGCTTGTATTTTATGTTTGTGGTGTACATATAAACATCTATGCACATACTTACGAAACACAGGTCAACATTTCGATTCTGGTCCCAATAACAGAACATACCCCCAAAAAACTTGATACAACTAGATCAAGATAATTTTCAACCATACATATTTTGGACAAAACAATGCGGTTGATCTTTACATTACGGTAACTTGGCGATTTTTTGGCGAAAATTGGCGACAACTCCCTACAGCAACCCTCTATTTTTTCCCCGCCGCCATTTTGTCTTCACGAAGTAAGACATGTTCTTTTCTTCTTATCTACTGAACACTCTTCCAAAATCTACTAGCCGAATTACACTTATGCTAGAAATTTTATCAAACAAAACGCTTAATCATGACAAATATTCACTGCAAAATTCGGAAAAAGGCACAATACCATACACTACGCGTTTTCAAAATAACACATACACATAAACCATGTACACGCCGACTTATTTTACTTAAAAAACATCCGAATTGCACAAAAATGGCATTGCGCACACTCTTCACTATATCCATGTACACTGCTTTTTTCTCATAAATTCGAAAAATTTCACGAAAATACATGACAATTTTCTCAATCTTTAAACCCGGTAAAAAGAACATATATGAAATTACCTGATCGCGAAAAAGTATTTACCCTTTACAAATATGAACATTTCCACATATAAAATAAATAAAATATCCAAAAACTTTACTCTAATCATCTATTACATTATACACGTCACCAACGAATTCATACATGAAGCATTACAATATTTAGTATCAAATATTTAAATTATTTCCATGCACGTTTATTTCAACTTAAACGTAAACCAAATTCCTACAAGCATAAAATTCACAAAAAACTATCATTTCATTAAAATATCACTGAACCATGTACACGTCGACTTATTTTTACTTAAAAAAACATCCCAGAATTGCACAAAAATGGCATTGCGCACACTCTTCCTATATCCATGTACACTGCTTTTATCTCATAAATTAAAAAATTTCACGAAAACATGACAATTTTCTCAATCTTTAAACCCGGTAAAAAGAACATATATGAAATACATGATCGCGAAAAAGTATTTACCCTTTACAAATATGAACATTTCCACATATAAAATAAATAAAATATCCAAAAAACTTTTACCTCTAAATCATCTATTACATTATACACGTCACCAACGAATTCATACATGAAGCATTACAAATATTTATTATCAAATATTTAAATTATTTCCATGCACATTTATTTCAACTTAAACATTACACCAAATTCCTACAAGTATAAAATTCACAAAATAACTATCATTTCATTAAAATATAATAAATTCGAAAACACCACTTAAATATACATGAGCACATACATTCAATTAATAAAAATTACCTTACAATCCTAATTACTTTTAAACTAAACATTGCTAATAACAATTTCCCAATAATACCAAATTCCTTTCCACCTTACATTTCCAACAATGCATAAAAATAATTAAAAATACTAACTTACCTAATCTCCTTCAGAATCTTCATTACGTGGCGGATACACTTTTCTTCATTCTCTTTCAGAATCTTTAAAATCATACTTATCTTTCAAGCAAGATACCAGGTAAAATAAATAACATAATAAAACATGTTTATTTCTCTCGCCACAACCTTAAAAAACATTTCTTACTATCCTTTTCAATACCACTAAATACCCATTTCGAATTCAATTTACTTACGGCCATGGGATCCAAAAATTCACAAACACTATTTCACACAACACAGAATAAAGCCAAATACAAAATTTCCAGATTTTTTCCCGATTTCCCCCCTTTTACAATTAAAGAACCGTAATTCGTCCATTAATATCACATGACATATCCCATTATCTCTCATTTCCCCCACACAAAATAATGCGTAATCGGAACTCAGTACTGCTCACATTATTACCAGAGTCCCAGGTAGTAACCTTTATCGCCTCCAAAATGTCGCCAAACTACCAGTTACCGTAATGTAAAGATCAACCAACAATGCAAACTCTTATTTTTATACAATTGTTCAAATTATTTAACATAAATTTATTGCTGCAATAAAATAATAAGCAATCTGATGACACATATTATTTTGAAACTGAATGCATAAACTAGACTAAAAAAATTCAGTCATAAACATTTGGATAGCAGGGCAAATTAGATATTTGAAAAGACAGCCAGCCATTGAGATACACGTAATTCACGACAGAATGGTAACAATTCATAAAGCTGTGAAACATTTAACTGTCAAATGACATAATAACATAAATTCGAAAAGCAAAAAAAAGTAAACATACAGTATTGCAACTGAACTTACCTTTCATGCAACAAAAATATCCATACAAGTTAACCTCATGGCGCAGCCATTTTGGATTTCGTTTCAAATCAGACAGATGTTTTACGGATTTGCGGAAGAAAGAATACGAGGACCTAGTAGTTTGCCGGATACAATGTGCAATGACGCGAAAGAATATAGTTCTGTAGAACTTCCTACATTATTCCGTAATAAACAGTACTATTTCCTAATTTTTTTCTTTATCTAATAATTAATTAATAGGGAAATAGTTAAATAATGCCGAATTCATTTTTAATGAAATGTAAAATTTTGCATGTATGGGACGACCACCTTCCGTCCAATATTCTGAGAATATAAACAAATTTGGAATCTGAGAGTATCAGTAAATAAATATATAGAATATCGCCTCTCAAACGACCACTTCTGAAAGTGACCAATAGTTCTGAGATTATCAATAAATATTGATATTAAGCATTATTTCTATAAGACGACCTTCTCTATATAAGACCAAAGTTTCTAGAATCTTGGATAGTCATCAGAGATGTATCTTTACTGCGAAATTATCGCACGACTGTAATTCAATATCAAATAACGGATCGCGCGATTGAAAAACATTTTCGTCCTGTAATTAGAGGAAAAAAATTTCCTTATGAGGTATTTCTCCTCTTTCATAGCGTGCCTTCGTGTGTAATAGTTCTGCACGCTGGGCCGGTATTCAGAGGTCCGTGGTTCGATTCACGGCGAAGGCGGTTGCTAATTTTCATCTCTACGGCTTCCCAAAAAAATCTTAATGTCTCTACAGTGGCGCCCCGAATTAAAAAGGTGTGGATGAGGTATATCCACACCCAGGATTTAGTGATTGGATCCCCTTAAAAAAAAGTCCGCCTTTAAAAAGAGAAGTAATATAAGGTATTTCTCCCGCTTTCCTAGCGTGTCTTCGGCCCACCAGCGGCCGAGCGGTAAAGTCGCTGAACCCTGGTAGTGCGATCCGAGGTTCGAATCCCGCAAACAGGCTGGCTGCATGGGTGTTTTCGTGGTTTTCCCCACGTGTAACGTGTATACGAGCCAGTTTCCCTTAGTCCACGGCCAGTCCCTCCACGAAGACATCCCTCCCCTTAGGCAGATAGCCCTAGTGTGCTTTGCCATAATTAAATACACCACCACCACACCTAGCGTGTCTTCGTGGTGTAGTGGTTCTGCACGCTGGGCCGGTATTCCAGAGGTCCGTCCTTCAATTCCCGGCGAAGGCAGTTGCTAACTTTTCATGTTTCCTGCTTCCAAAAAAATACCTAATGTCTCTATACCCAAATTAAAAAAAAAAAAATTTCTTTTCCGTAATTAAATATTTTTTATAAAAAAAATATATATGTTATTAGAATTTTGCAAATATTCTAGAAAATGCCAATCCATTGAAAAAATCTTTTCCATGACTAAATAAATTTTTAAAACGTCAGAAAAAATAGCAGTTAAAATTAATAACAAAATAACAAGAATAAATCATCAATCATATCAAATATTTTAATGTACAGCATTTAGAAACAACTTAGTAAAATACATATGAAAAATAAAATAATGTGCAAGTTTCAGATGTGCAATGTCCAAAAATTAAGACTGGTAAATTTAAGAACAAATATCCTCAAAATGTTTGACAAACGAAAGTCCTCCGGACAATGCAGAATGAATGTCCTCAGGATGTGAAATGGTGAACTCCTCAGGACATCTGAGAATCAACATCTTCAGGACATCCTGTCATATCCCGGGACATAGCGACTTAAATAAGACATCCTCAGGATGTTAAATTACGATCTCCTCAGGACATCTGAGAATCAACATCCTTAGGACATCCTAAGTATGTCCCGGGATATTGCGACTTAAATAGGACATCCTGAGGATGTTTTGTGCTATGGGGGGTACATATGTAGCGTTACCAGGTATATTAAGATAGACTTACTAAGCGAATATTTAGCTGCACATAACATAGCTCATTACTTGTAGCTTCTTAGACATAATTCTGCTTGACATAGGTCTTGTCCAAGCGCTTCAAGTTTATTCATTATATATTTAATTTTATTTGTAAATGCTGTTTGCTTTATTAGAAAGCGCTTGAATGGGACCTCAGAACCACCGAAGCTAATGTGCCATTTCTGTGTCAAAGGGCATTTCACAAGATAATGATCGGGCTACCCTTCATTGCCGCAGACACAGCTATTGGTGGTAGATATGACTCTGTCTTTGAAATAAGACGGGAAAGGTCCATGACCCATTATGAAGCGCGTAAGGCAGGGTGCGGAGATAACCCAGTCTGTCGTCATTCTATGTATAAAGTCCTGAGTTCTTCCGCCCTTGTTGGATTGTACCTCATTCCTCCTGCCACAGGCTTCCCATGCTTTCCCTTTTAGGTGCGATTTCGGCAGCAAAATCGAAACTTTTTCTGCGCCCTGATTTTGGGCTGCCTCCTTTGCCAATTCGCCTGCTTTCTCATTACCCTGGGTTCCAGAATGTGCCTTTACCCAGGATATGCGAATCTTTGAAGTGGAGGTATTCGCTCTTAGCGTTTTTTGCGCCTCCGTAACAAGATGTGCTGAATGTCGTGGGTTTTTAAATGCATGCATTGCTGAGAGGCTGTCGGTGAAAATTGTTGCGTACCGTTGGCTGGTTTTTGTTAGCCAACCTATTGCTTTATGCAGTGCCAGAACTTCTGCCTGGAATACTGTGTTTCCAGGGTTCATATGTCCTTTACAGGTTGCTGGTACATCTCCTTTATTATATGCTACAAAAGCGCACCCCACTTTTCCATCTAGTTTGGACCCGTCTGTAAATATGATTACTCTTAGGTCATCTGTGTTTGGTGCGAGAGCTGGGTCATGGTACGTGAAGACTCCCTTCATGTAAAGGGAAGGGTGCGTATCTAGCTGAGAACTCTTGAACTCATATTCAGAGACGTCATAAGTGATGCCCCCGAAAGTCTTACACATTTTCAGTAGAAAAACCGAGTCAATTGCAGCCTCTTGCATCGCTTTAATTGGCAGTAGTATTAGCCCTGCTAGGACTGATGCGGCTGCTGTTGAAATCTTTCGGTACGCCCTAGTTATACCAAGAACGAAAGGTCTCTGAATGCAGTTAAGCACTTTGGATTTTCTTGTCGTCATCGAGCAGGCCCAGATCACCGCTCTATAAGTAATTATCTTCTCTACGACTGTAGAATAGAGAATTTTTACGATGTGAGGACGTAACCCCCAATTTGATCCCTGCATTCTTTTGAGGCTATTTGCAATTCGGTGCGCTTTCTCACGTTGCGCTCGTAGATGGGGTATCCAAGTGAAAGCCTCATTCAACGTGATGCCAACGAGCTTTAGTTCTTTAACACGTTTGATTTTCCCTCTCCTGCATAGAGACACAAGAATTTCGTGTGATTGTTTGCCCAGGCTTATGAAATATCATGCATTTGGACTTGGTCTCAGAAACTTTTAACTAAATTTCATGTTATTTGCATGCTTCTTTCAGGGTGTTGAATTAACGGTGGCCAGCAGTGTAACTTATCGAAAAACAAATGAGTCTTAAATAGTATGTAGAAGTGGATTGAACCCAATTTACTCTCCACAGGAAATCCTTTAGAGGCTATGGTTTAATGCTAAGTCCGATTTTTTTTTAGAATCACGCAAGCAAAGAATTATACCTCTATCAAACAATGAAGCAGAATACATAGCGTTGAGTAAAGTTTCAAAAGAAGCGATGCACTTACGAACTACTATTAAGCGAATTAGGTATTTCGGAGAAGGCGGCAGAGCGAACTCTGTTATATAATAATAAACAAAGTTTACAGCATGTAGTGAAAAATCCTGTTTATTCCACTTGAAAAAACGTATTGATGCTAGTTTTCTATATATCAGAGAGATGTATGACGAAAAGGAAACTGACTTTAAGTATGTGTCTACAGGAGAAATGCCTACCGTTATTTTAACGAAGAATCTTGACAGGGATAAACATAGAAAATGCAAGAATTCATTAAAGTCTTAAGCTTTAATGATTTGTTTTTAATCTTTTCAGCTTTGCGAGGGAAAGAGTTAGGCAATTTGCATCTCCCTGATATCAGCAGTGCTGAAGAGGATAGGGAATGCTGTAAATCCCGCAGTAGACGCCGAGAGTGTGTGTCGTACTGACGTGGCTGGGTGCGTGTCATCCTGATAATCGATGTGCTCAGTAGCAGTAGCGTATGCGGTGCGGCTTCCAGCGTATGCGATAATTCCATAGCATAGAATCCTGCTATGGAATTAAGCTGACGAAGAGAGGATTGAGAGTAGGAATTTAGGAGAATATCCCGTGCAGCATTTACCAACAACATAAAGCAGTTCATCGGCTCATGGTAAAGTGCCTAAACAAATAAACGTTATGACAAAATATGCTTGATATAGCGCAACAGTTATAATTGTCAAGTTTATGATAATAAAGTTATTACCCTGTTATCATATCATCAAATATTTTATTTAGGAAAGGTTGTAAAATTCGCATGTGACTAATAATTTTATTTTTGGATTAGTGCTAAACTTTTATGAATTAATAATAAGACTTCTAGAATTAATTTCTGAATAATATTATTGTTTAAAAATGTGAATTTTAAGAATTTTCTTATTAAAATATAATCTTTAATAATTTTCTAATTATTTTGAGAATGAAGTTGTAGAGACATTAGGATATTTTTGGAAGCAGGAGAATGGAAAAATTAGCAAACGCCTTCACAAGGATTCCAACCACGGACCTCTGAAATACCGGCCCAGCGTGCAGAACCACTACCACGAAGGCACGCTAAGAAAGCGGGAGAAATACCTTATATACTCCCCTTTTGAAGGGCGACTGGGGTCTTAGATGACCCAATCGCCAAATCCTGGGTGTGGAGAATCCTCTTCCTATAACTTTTAGTTCGGGCGCCACTGTAGAGACATTAGGATATTCTTGGAAGCACAAGAATTGAAAAATTATCAAACTCCTTTGCCGGGAATCGAACCACGGACCTCTGGAGTACCGGTCCAGCGTGCAGAACCACTACACTACGAAGGCACGCAAGGAAAGCGGGAGAAATACTTTATAAAGTAAAAATTAAAAATGAATGATGTAAATTTGAATATGTGTATAGGAAAAGGCATAAAAGTTAATTTTTAAGAATTAATGTGGCAAATATTACATGTTTTGATATTGATTATTGCTGTTGTGAATATAAATAACGATAATTTATGAAATTGAATAATTACAATAAAATTGATTGTAAATAATGTAACTAAAAGTGAAATACATAAAGAAAAAGTAATTTGGACTTATAATATATGAATATTTGTTACTAATAACTGTACATAAGGAATGAAGTTGTAAGGAACTTAAGTTTTACTAACGTTTATTTTATTTTAAATCTTTACTATCACTTCTTATTTTCTACTTCCGGCCAGAATTATAAGCGTGAAGGAGTTTATGCAAAGTTGTCTGGCGAACGCCAAGTATTTAAGTGTGGCCTTTTTGCCAAGCAGAAGAGAGGAAGCCGTGAGTTCGAAGCAGGCCGCTTACCTTAGAAGTTACTACTTTGCCTTCCAGGCCAGAGGTTTTAATCCTCTTGATAAATTAAACGTATTGTAGTGTTCAACAGTCTCTGTGCTACATACGCTTCCTGTTATTATAAGGCCAATCTTATTCTAAAGTTAAATTAGAGTTTAGTTTTATTTTTGATATCTTTACGTTAGACCCGAAGTGGAGGGTCATTGTATTCCGAAGTACGGAAGTCACTGTATATAAAGAAAAAAATAAAGGGTTTTGTATACCCTTCGTCTGTATCCTGTCTACTTACTACAATTAGTGAACATAGCTTTAGTAAGCTCTCTGTTCTAGTCAGGTCATTGTATGTTTCCGAAGAAGATTAGAAGAAACATTGAACCTGATAGTGGCGCCCAACGAAGAATAACCATGGCCGAGTTTCAAGAACCTGTGCTGCCTGCAGAAACAGCTCAGAATCCAGAAATGCCAGCTGCCGCCCTGGAAGGATTCGGGTACATTGTCCAGACCATGCGCGCTTCGATGAAACCAGAAGCAAAACGTTTAATGGAAAACTCACAGGTAACCAGTTTTTTGGAAAAATTGGATGACCACTTCATGCTCTACCCCGTGCACGAGTTTCAAAAAGTTACCTTAGCTACCAGCGCTTTGAGGGGCCAAGCGCTTAACTGGTTCAAATATATCGGCAGAAGTCTCTTGGGTCAAGCAGGAAGTCCCACCTATACCTACGAAAATTTCAAGACTTGCCCTACTAAAAGCCTTCCCTGTTGTAAGGGATCGTGCGAAATTAGAAAAGAACTTTTCAGTATATAATCAACAAAGAATGGAAAACCTCTCGAGTTTTATTTTAAGAAAAATTCACGTTTTCAAGCTCTTGTATGGAAACCGTCCGGATCCTGAAATAATTCAGTGATTTTGCCGAGGTTACTACCCCAAGTGCAAGACTTTATTGAATTGAGAAATCCGACTACACTGGAAAAATTATTTGAGCTAGCAAATCCAGTTTGAAAGTAGAAGAACGGCGGACGTCGAAAGAAGACGCCAATATCAACAGCGAAACCAATTTGGTACGCCAAGACTACAGCAAACTCAAGCACATGGCTACGGAGAAAAAAAAAAGCGAATCAGTGGGCAAGGAAACCCGAGCATTCAAAAACAGCCGGCGAACGTCGACAGTTCAATAGCAACCCAGGAAAAAAGTCTCAAGGCCAGTGGAGAAAAGAAGGAAAGCACCGAAAGGAAAAATAATTTAAACTAAACGGATTTCTGCTGACGAGAGGTGCGGAAACCCGAAGGCCACGAAAACCCCTCTTCCTACAAGTTAAATACAGTAATGGTGAAAAATTTAACTCTTCCGAAGATTGAAGTCTTGGTAAATAATATCCCGGCCACCGCACTCCTGGATACCGGCGCGCAGTGTTCCTGTGTGGCAGAAGATTTTTTTAGGAAGTATTTTCGCAAATACCGCATATATAATGCGGATAATACAACAGTATTAGCGGCGCAAGGAGAACAATGTAAGTGCGTAGGTAAAGTACCTTTGTACATCCGTATCAAGGACGAACAAGTAAAGGTGATGTTTTTTATAGTAAAGAATTTGAAAGCACACTTAATACTAGGAATAGACTTTCTTTCAGACGCACAAGCTACACTGGATTTTAATGAAGCGTCTCTTAAGCTGACGATGAAACCAGTGCGTGTAGAAAAGGTTGAACCGCCAAGGTTAAATCTTGACCACCTGCCTAATGACGAGCAAGATAGAATCCGACAAGTGGTAAGTGAATTTGCTTCCTTATTTAGTGATATTCCAGGATTTACCCAGGTTACTAACCATAGTATTGACACCGGAGATGCATTGCCGGTTCGTCAAAAAAACCATACCGGTATGATAAGAATAAGGAAAAAAATATATAGAATGGCATATTACCGATATGCTACGTAAAAAGATCATAACGCCTATATCAAGTAGTTATGCTAGTCCGGTGGTTTTATGTAAGAAAAATAATGATTATCCTTTGGAGCATCCAAAAAGGTGGAGATTCGCTAATTGATTACCGTAAATTAAATTCCATAACGAAATATCCGGTATATCCGTTACCGATTATAGAAGAAATTTTAAGGAACATAAAATCAACCAAATTTATGACGACTTTAGACTTAACGAATGGTTATTTTCAAATAGGGATCAGGCCTGAGGACGTGCCTAAGACTGCTTTTATAACCAAGTCTGGCACTTATGCAATTTTTGCGAATGCCGTTTGGCCTTTCAGGCGCCCCAGCAACATTTCAGCGATGCATGGACATTGTGTTAAGACCTGTTCTCGGAAAGTCCACATTTATCTATTTAGACGATATCATTATTACTAGTGATAATCTAGACCAACATGTACAGGATTTAAGACAGGTGTTTTCTTTATTAAATGAGGCCGGTCTAAAAGTTAATGTCGAAAAATGCAAATTTGCAGCCCCTGAATTAAAATATTTAGGTTACAAAATATCTCAAAAAGGGATCGAGACAGATGAATCAAAAATAATCGCTGTACAAAAGTATCCGACTCCGAACACGGCAAAGAAGCTCTCTTCTTTTCTAGGACTTTGTTCATATTATAGGTCC